CTCAATAACGTGGTCAGATAATCCAGAACATGAAAAACCATTGTTGGATAATCCGGAGTTTATTGTACATATGTAGGAATATGTATTTAGGACAAAATATACCTAAGTAGCCTTATATGTTCCATTATACAACTCTTTAAAACGTTGTTAAAATTGGTGACAATATGTAAATGCAAGAGACGATTTCTCAGAATGTCCAGTTGACCAGAAATATGAAATACTGAAAGACTAAGAAAATTGTCTATGCCCGTATAACACAAGGTAGAGATAAATGATGTAATACTTTGAACAACATATGTCAATTCATATTGTGGACTTCTTGTTACATCGTAAATGTAATACGTCTGCATTGGGAGTGGTCTCTCCAGATCTGCAGTAACATTAGACAGGTATCTTGTTGAGTAACCAAATATAGGCAAAAGATTTATAATAATAAAGGCCGCTCCCATCAAGCCATATCCAAATATGACAATAATGCGTGCAATTTGTGCTTTTGCTATCATCATTGCTTTTTCTTGAGATGTCGTTGTCTTTGTCCAATCGTTTGCAATCAAATGTATTATCGGTACGACAGCTTTGAGAATACAACGACAAGAAATTAATAATGATATAATAAAATAAATGTTAACTACATATACATATTAATAAATTTATATTAATGAATGTAATTTTAGTATAATTTGTAGAATTAAATTTTAATATATAATAATTTATGAAAATTCGATTCTGATTAAATTTAGTTTCAATTAGATATTAGAAAATTGTGGAAATACGTTATTAATTTAAGATCACAACAAATTTTTTGAAAATTAACTGAATCCAGAGTAAATGTTTCTTATAAATTTCGAGTCATTGAATTAAAATTTTTAATGTGATGCTAGAGTGGCCGAACTCTAGAGCCGAACTTGGTCGATGTCGATAGTATAAACTTTTTAATTATAAAAATGTCGATAACAATGACATCTTTAATTCATTTCTTATGTTACCGTTCTGTTTCACTCAATTGCATTCGTTTGTCATTATTTAACATATTTCAACGGCATCTCTTGCAAATTCGAGCACGTACTGCTAGACACAATTACTACTTTGTTTTTTATTCTGAGTCTTCGCTAAGTACATAAATGTACTTATGACGTAAGTTGCAGATTGATATAAACCTTTTTTTTTTAAGCATTTTTAATCTTAGTTTTTTTTTACAAATTCAGTCGTAATAATGTCGTTCATAAATTCCACTATACTACCTCCTAACTTTACGTCTACTTTAATTCTGTAAAGGGATTTTTGATTCAGTTAATTTAGATATTTTTATATAACTATAATGTCTCGATAATTCGGTCACCTCCAGCATCCCCTTAAGGCTCCTCAGCAGTCACCTCAGTCATATTGAATCGTAACGTCATAAGCGGGAAATGTCACATCGATTTTTCTTGCATGTCATTTATAAATAAAGACAATTTGGATAAGACGAAATAATGAAATCGCTATAAAGTACTTGTAAAAATGGACCAAGACTATCCTTACTAATTTTTCTGATAGTCAGTAAATGATCGAAAAACGTTCGTGAAGTGAAGATAGGTTACACATGCCCATTGAGTAAAAACTAGCAAATATATTTTACATGTCTTTTATTTACTATTTACTGATAAGGGGAACATTGATAATTTCGGGCCATTTTTACAAGTGTTTTCAAGCGACCTCATTATTCCGTTTTATTCAAATTGTCTTTATTTGTAGAAAGCATGAAAGAAAAAAAGCGTGTCGCAGACACATTTCTCCCTTATAATGTCACGATTCATATGGCTGAAGTAAGTACACAGGAGGAGTACTTAAACTGTTTTGCTCTATCACATTTTTTAGATAATCGAGAAAAATAGTGGTGGATTTTTTAAAAATTGCATTTTCCTCTTTTTCAAATGTTTTTTCTTAATTTTTACAGATTTTCCGCTATTTTCCTTGTTTATATAAAAAAGTAAACGTAATAGAGAGCAAACTGATTTACAAATTCTAATTCAATGATCAACAATAATTTATAACCACAACAATTTTATTTCCAGTTAATTTAAAATAATTTTTATGTAATTATGTGTGATTAGTCCGCAATTGTAACAGTAACTCTACATACATGCAATAAATGTAAAATATAAATAATTACTATTGTACATAAATCAATAACAACTGCGGTACATGAACCTAACTTATTGTGTACTTTGATTTTTAAAATTCAATATAAATAAATAAATCTTTAATTCCATTTCAGAATTGTACGAAAAATAGAGATTATTTATGCTGATATATAAAATGTATGTATATTGTAAACATCCCTGGTGGAAATCTCCTCATGATGGGAAGATTTGGAACGGGTATGTACCTATTTTAGGTGGGTGTATACCCTTCTAAAATAGTCATATACCTATGGGTCATGGCCATTTTTGGAACTACCTATGAGGAGATTTCCACTAGGGATTTCATATTGTATACCGATCAAATTAGTACTTTATCTACCTTTTCTCTTCCACCAAAAAATTACAAATTTTAAGAGGACAGAAATGGCTGGTAAAGTACACATCAAATTATCTGTTACAAGTAAAATGTCAAAATGGACTCTTATCACTCTTATCAGAGAATGTATACCAGGTATTATAAGGGCAAGTATTATCAATAAGAAAATGAGAAGTACACGTAAATTGCACAAACACTTTTCCAATGTAGTTTGTTCGAACTTAGGCCAAAGTCCGATTATTTCTAGACCAAATCGATTTAACTTGACTGCCCATTCGAAATCTATTTCAAAAAAGGTTTGATAAATTATGTGTTCCATTTTGGACGAAATATTTTATTTGACCTTTTTTTGATAATGATCCATAACTACTATAACTCTGATATACAAGATAGTTTGTTTCCATGTTGAACGTAAGAGATGAACTGACGACACTGTTTCTTTCACAGCAATGTCTATACAACCGGGGTGATATATGTCATATGCATAATAAAAATTCTTAAAAACGCAAGATGTTTAATGGCAGAAGGTTTAAAAAATTCTATATGTCCCTTTTTGTTGTGCAACTACGAATAATGACTAGTACAACAATGTTCAAAGCATTCATGAATAATAACTGAAGTAATGACGGGTTCATAAGTAGTTGATCATGCGACAGGTTATGTAGATGTAGCAGTCACGTTCTTCACAGTCGTAATCGATTTTGAGGTGTCTATAGTCTGAACTATAGCCATCTTATAGTAATGACCAATTGTGAGTAATATTACTTTTATTGTAAAAATTGGGTACGGTAAATAGATATTTTTATTTCGTATTTTACGATATTAGACCTATTTTACTCTTTCATATACTCACTTTCCAAATGTAGACATTTTTCACAGCGGAGCTCCTGTACACTCGTATCATAGAATTTCATTACCCATAGAGTCTAGCTATATTATTTCATTGCTTCTTGCGGTTTCTTCATTATCCACTGATCTATTCTCTCCTTGTAAAGCGATATTAACTTTCATTTAACCGATAATCCGTGCATGTGTACATAATAAAAGTTTTCAAAAGTGATACATGATTCTTGCAAAAAGAGGATGGATTTAAAAAATTTGAACCTTTCCTGTTGTAAAAGTTTTCTCAGTGCCTCGTGTGTGCAACATTCGAAACATAAAAACTGGCATAACGACGAGGGGTTGTTAAATGCCTGTTTGCAACCTATTTTCACCCTCCTATTAAATTCTCACGAACTTGTAATCGATTTCGGGCATTGCGTGTGATCTGAATTATATTTTTTTGTTTTTGTGTTGTATATAGTGAGCAATAATTTGTATATAATATTGCTTTTTTATTGTAATTAAAGTGTTTATTCGGTTTATCTATAACTGCAGTTTTTGAAATAAATGTATAATATTGTGATATTTGCTAGATATTGTAGAGAATATAACTGATAATTATAATATTTTTGTCTTTATGACCTATTTAATAAATAAATAATGAGGATTAATTAATTTTTTCTCAATTACTGTATTTACAGTAGAGAAATATTTACTTATCTTAATTAATTTGGCTTTATCGACAAAACATGAAATTTGTTTGAATGTACAGAATATTTAAATTCACTTTATGCAATTATTCCTTTAAAAAAATCTTTCCCAAAAAAGTTGTGTTTAAATATACCGTGTACAGAACATGAAATAAATCCCCAGAATATGTCGAAATCTAAACCTGGTAGGCCAAATTGTTTTAGAAGTACAAGTTGTATGATTTGAAGAATGACAAATAAAATTAATTCTCGAAGACTTTCTTTTACATGAACCTCGTAGCTATTTTTTAAATGAAATTATAGAAAACTTATTTTGCATGATATGTTTTCTTATTTATTCTGCATATAAAAGTATTAAGATAAAATTATAAAAAAATCAATAATTTAGGAAACATATTTTATACTTTCTTTATTTTGATATGAAATATAAAATGTTTCATGAATTGTTCATTTTTTTGGTAATTCTACCTTAATAATTTTATCTTAATACTTTTATCAGAACAATGAGATGAATCAATTGAAATAAAGAAAATACTTTGTTATTTTTAAACAAATTTTATGTTATTCGCTATATGTAACGATATATATTTTTTGAGAAACACTATATATTTTCTTTATATCAATTAATTCATCTTATTATTCTATATGAAATATTAAAATTTAAAATTAACAAGAAATGAATGTTAAAATTTTCAATTAGGTTTATGAGATATTGATGTTTATGTCAAAATATGTTAGAATAGCTGTATGATTATTAAACTAATTTAAAAATTATAAAAATTTCTCAGCGCTATATCTTTTTTGTACTTTAAATATTAGTATATATATTATTTTATTTATCTCAGTATTATTCAAATTTATACAATTAATTTGTAAGTTATTATTATTATAATTTATTAATTAATTACATAATTAATTCAGTGTAATAGTGTTACATCAGGAGTGGTTGAATTTACCTCTATTTTTCAATTAGGTTCTTGTTGTAAGGAGAACAGATATGTAACTGGCTGACGTTTTTATGAGCTGAAAAATATATTAATAATAGCATGTCTAACATTTAAACAAATATGCACATTATTAAAATAAAACATGTAGTAAATCAACTACATTTAACACCTTACGTTACAAAATGTAGCCATTGTCATAGGAAACACTTTTCCAGCGGTAAGATAACTTGATTTATTGCTTCTAATTAATAGGACAATTAAGCATTTTGCGCTTCTTGGCTCTAAAGTATACCATTTATAGTTGTACACAGCTCTGTGAATTTGATCGCACTGAAAACCGTAAGAAATTTTTTAATTTTTAATTAAAGTATTAATTTTATCTTATATTATGTATGATTTTATATTTTATATTTAACAATTAATGTATTGACAGTATAATTTCTATAACTGATAAAGATGGGAAATTCTAGGAACAATGATTTTTTTCTGGATGTTAGTACAAACATCGTGAAAATACAATAAAAAATAAAACAATTATATTATTCAACTTACTTGTGCCACTAGAATTTCTCCTACAGCACAATAGACACACATATGACCAAATGTGTTGACAAGAATACATACTTCATATGTCAAGTGAGTAATTGATATATTATTCCCCTTTTCTATTAACTAAATGACACGTGTAAATAAGAGATAATTTTTATACAATTTATTTTTGGAAGAAAATTATATTGTGGATATTAAACATGAAAGTAAATTGCATGACATTAGATGTATATGAAACGTTGCGAAAACAAATATAATAAATTCTCTTTTTTTCAAATGTATTAAAAAAAAAATTAAAAGGCGTGATAAATATGTGAAATATTTTTAAACACTTACATTTATTATCAGGAATCCATAACAAGCAAAAAGTATACCGAAATATAAAAATAATACTAAGAGAATTATATTGTATGTATCATCTATAACAGCGATGGCTCTATAAAATGATATTGTATTTATTTTCGATTAAAGTTGGAAGAATAAATGAGAATTAATGAATAATAATTCTAAAAACATTTTCATATAATGGGTAAGAAACATACAGTGCTCTTTAAAAATTTAATTAGTACATAATAATTCGATAAAATAATATGAAGAAGTCCGTACATATTATATAAAACGTGTATCGAATACCTAAGTAGTCGGACGTGATCTATCACATTCTTTTTTAAAATGTCATGAAAATCGATAAAGTTATCCAAGTGCATGATACGATATCTAAGAATTTCCAATTGGCCGCAAATATGAAACACCAATAGTCCGAGAAAATTATCAATACCAGTATAAGATAAAATAGCAAAGAAAATAGCAATACTCTGAATAAAGAATGTCAACTCGTATTGCGGTCTCTTTGACACGTCATAAGGATAGTACGTTTGCAATGGTAATAGTTTTTCTGGATCAGTGACATTCGTCAAGTATCTGATTGAGATTCCACAAATAGGTAAAACGACAACAAAGGTAAATGCTATCGTCATTGCACTATATGCGCACATAATAATTATACGCGCGGTTTGCGCTCTTTTGATCATCATGCTTCGCTCATATGTATTTTTCAGTCTTTGCCAATCCTCCGCGATCATGTTTAAAATCCATAAAATAGCTTTAAAAATCATAAAATTGTTTAAATTTGCAAAAGTTTGTTGCTTATAAATAAAAAATTATTTATATGACAATATTCTCGGAATAATTTTTACACCGCAGCTTACCGGTGTAAAATAAAAAAATTCTTTTTCTCATATTATAAAATAGTTGTCGTTCTATCATAAAATCTATTATATGTTTCATTGAAGTAGGAGTTACACAATAATAATTCATAATACAATACAATTTATTAGTATTTTGATTAAGACAAATTATATAAGATAAATTATATTTACCTTTTTTCTTCCACCAAAGTATTATAATTCTGACAGCACAAGTAATAGCCGGTAGAGTAAATTGCAAGTTATCAATCAGTAGCATGATATTCGAATGAATTCTTATCAATGAATGTATTGAAGGAATTAGAACACCGATTATTATTATTAGGACAATAATTAAAGGGCGGAAATTATATGTTAATTTCTCTTGAATGTTGTATTTAGTTTTAGGCCAAAGCCCAATTAGTTTTAAACTGAAACGATTTATCTTCACCGCCCATTCGAAATCTATCTGTTACAAGAAGTATTATAATAAAAAAATATTATGAAAAATGTAAACAATAAACACTAATAGAAGCATCAATTATAATTAAATTGTATTTGCTCTATCAACTGATAATTTGTGAAACTTTGCTATAAATATAGAAAAGAGAAAAGTTTTTGATGTATTTTGTAAATTATTGTGAATTCTAATAATTAATTACTTAATAATAAATTATAACAACAAAACAAAAGTTTTACGTTGTATTACATCTACTATTTTACTATAAAAAATAAGATAAAAATTTATTGTTGTTTTATATTTACAGTTAAATAAGTGGTACTAAAATATTATTAAAAAAAATATATATTATAAATGTAGATATAACATTGAAAAAACATTCACACTTCAACATTGAACATTGCAACATCTGAGCAACGTTTTTTCAACGTTCTGCGTGGAAGTTATGTTGAGTGTCGTAGAAGAATACAAGATAAAAATGAGAACATGTTCGAATTATATTAACGCACGCATAATCATATATGTTTATATTAATCTAAAATAGTCTTTCTTTATATATATACGAAATAATCCTGGCCAATTGTGATTACGATATCTGTAATGAAGCACCTTGATATCCCAAAAAGTTTAAAGTATCCATACTGAGTGTTAAATAGAAACTGATGGTTGTGTGCTTTTTCTTCATGCAGCAAAGTCATTTTGTATGCAATAAAAAATACCCACTGCGTGTGGAAAATGTTCTCAAAGAGAGAGACGATCACTTTGAAAGAGGAATCATTAAAAATGTACAACGGTTATAACGTGTCTACTCACTTGAGTTTCTATTAAAAAACTTGAATAACAGTTTATAGATGCTTTTTACTTTTTTTGTAATCGATTGATGTCAGTCTTAGTTTATGCTATAATGTCAGACTGTAATCAGTTATATCTATCACACTTGATGATAATGTATTGTAGTGTAAGTAACGTAATGTAGTGTATTATTAGTGTGCCTACACTTGTGTGATCGCAATAAAATTGATAAAGAAAATTATTTTACTGTATCCTCCTTGTTATTAATAATAACTCATAAAACATTCATTTTCCAGAAACTTGTTTAGAAAGTTAGAAATTGATCAATAATAGTAACATTTTTTTGCTATATAAATACAATGAATATATTAAAATTAACTCTGTTTATGACATTTTATTTCTTGAAAGGAAAATTATTACTTTTCCATTTTTCATGTTAAACAGAAAGGATATACATATTAGTTAATATTTGTAGTAATCCAAATATTATATCTATAACATATTAAAAATCTTAGATTTGAAAATAAACTGGGAACCTTTTGATATATTAAAACTATAGTTTTAGTATATCAGTTTTAATACAAACAATGTTTATATGAAAAAACAAATAATTTTATTTAATTAAATGGAGGTGATATCTTATAACATCTCAATGAATGCCTCCATATGGAATAAAACTGCTGAGAACTTAAGAAGTCATCATAAAAACTAAACAATTTTAATTTGACATACTTTTTATTAAGTGAATTGCTTTTAAAATAGTTTAAATTATTATATAATAGTTCATTCAAAATTGATTAATCTATATTATATAATATTATAAAATAAGTGCTAAAATAAAATTAATACTTTAACTGGATGTTTTAACTTTAAAATTCATGGAAGTATTGATATCTGTAACGGTATTCTTAAATTCAAATTTAAGATTTTTCTATTACTGTTTAAATATAATACACGTAATGTCTCACACAAATAAAGCAATAAGATTTGTTTATTCATTGTTCAAATAACATATTATTAATACTCGCACAATTTTTATAAGCTATAATATTCTATCAAAAATTGCACATTGAAAAAAATTTTATATTCTTCTTGTTTTTTCTATCAACTTTTTATTGTGTGCAAGACGGATATATAACTAACGGATGTTTTTACAAACTGAAAAAAATATTTTTTAATGGTTATAAAGTTAACAGTACGAGTTTGATTTACCTTAATTATACATATTGCACTACTATGGTTATATGTACATATATATATATATATATATAAATAGAACGAAATAAAAAATCGAATTTTACATATTAAAATGTAGTATAGGTTTTATAATAATTTTTAATAAAATTTTAGTGATACCAATATTTTAATGTTCAAGTCAAATTCTCAAACATTAAACTTACACTGCAAAATGTGGTCATTGTAACTGGTGACACTTTTCCAGCGGTGAGACAGACTGATTTAGAACCTCTTGTCATTAAAAGCAACAAATCTTCTACAGTTTTTGAATTTAGAGTGTACCATTTATTGTTATATGCAGCATAATATATTTTATTGCACTTGAAAATATCAGAAGCACTTTTAGATATCAATTGTTATGTACATTGTATGCGTATTCAAATAAAAATTAGTCATTGTTATATGATAATTTATACATTAACAAGAAAAATGTTTTGTTTTATAAACCAAAATTTTGCTGTAATAATAAAAATTTGGTTGAAATATTATATACCGAACCAAAACTTTTCTTAAAATGTATCGAATAAATTTGTAATTTTTGTAAACTAAATTGTTTAGTTGGTGTAAACAAATATTTGTTATTTACAAAACAGAAATAATTTTGCAAAAGCAACTAATTTTTTGTTATATAAACAAAATATTTAGTTGCTGTTAAAAATTGCATAAACAGTTTTACTGAAGGTACAAACATTTTCTTTTCCTATAAATATAGAGTAGAGCTAATTATGCAACATTCAATTTATACTAACTCCATAATAAAAAAATATATGTAATAAAAATATATTTTCGCAAGAAAAGTAACATATAAGTCGAAATTTTTCGTATTCTATATTATGTGCGAATTGTTTAATATACATTATTTGAAATATACATCAATTTAAAATAAGCAACTTTTTTTTAGTTCTATGTTTAATATTAGTTCTATGTTTAATATTACCGAAATAATTAATTTTAAAATACGCAGTTTTCTTTCCTTCTTCTGAACAATATTATATTTTTGACTTATGCCATTTTTCTTGCGGGGATGCTATATGTATATATAACTAACCTGGACTATCAAAATCTCACCAAGAGCACAATATAGGCACATATGTCCAAATAAATTTATAACGATGGAGAAGAAATATATTAAATGAGCGATCGACATATCATTTCCTTTATCAAATAGCTAATTAATTTATAAAATAAATAAAAGATTTAATTTTCTTAATAACATTAATTTAGAATTTTAAAATAACGTTACATACTTTTTTTTTAAAATAATATTACATAAACATAGTAACTTTTTATTAAACTTAAGTATCTGTTAATTTAATATTAATATATCTATTACTAAGTATTATTTATTAATTTAGACAAAACTTCTTTAAATAAGTTCTTATCCAAACATTTAAATACTTACACTAATCATCTGAAATCCGAAGAATGCGAAGAGAATTGCATGATATATAAATAAGAAAAAAAGTATTATACTATATGTATCTTCAATAACATCAATAGCTCTATTAAAAGATATTTAATGTACTAATATATTTTACGAAATGTTTTACATGGATTCTGTTTCTATACCTATATATTCTCATATAAGTAACATACCTAAGCAAACGATTATGATTTGCAATGCAGCATTTTAGCATTTTGTGACAATTCATGTATTTATCCAAATGTGTCAAACGATTTTTGAGAATGTCTAATTGGCCGCATACATGAAAAATTAAAAGACTAAGAAAATTGTCTATTCCAGAATAGGCTATCATGGCAAATGCTGCGTATATGACTTGACTAATAAATGTCAGTTCGTAATGCGGCTTTTTTGTTACATCATAAATATAATGAGTTTGTACTGGCAATAGTTTTCCTGGATCAGTAATATTAGAAGTCAGTCTTATTGACATTCCAAAAATTGGCAATACTGTGATGAAGAACCACGCTAATGTCATTATACAATAAGAGCAAATAGAAATTATACGAGCATTCTGCGCTCTTTGGATCATCATGCTTCTCTCTTGGTCACTTTTTAACGTTATCCAATCCTTCACAATCATATTCATAATTGGTATATTAGCTTAAAAGTAAATATTTTTATGTACAATAATTTTACAGCACTTCTGATTTAAAATACGTTAAGCTTAAATAATTAAAGATTTAAAAAAAAAACATCACTATTTTCGTATTCTCTCAAGAAAAAAAAAAATAACATTACAATTTTTTAAATCAGTAAAAGTGTTAATTTTGGAATGTATTAATCTTATTATACATTAGACATATACAAAATCTGTTATTTATAAAAAGTAAATATTTTATCTCCATATGAATATGTAAATATTTATATGCAAACACGTAGGTTTAAAATAATGCAATATATTATAATCTACAATATTTTTCTAAACAAAGTAATTAGCAAAATCGATTTTGTTATAAAAAGATCTCATTTAATAAAGGTACACGTTTAATTTTAATAAATTATAAATATATATATGTAAATACATGATTTTTAAGATGTAAACAACGCTTAAAGTATGTAATTCGTGAATTTTATTATTTAACAATTTTAATGAAAAATAGTCTATACATAAAAATATATATGTATATATTCATATATAAATCGATTTTACTAGTGTAAGTAAATTGAGTGATCTATATGTATTTGAAGCTATTAACATTAATCTGAACATTTAATTGGTATATGTATAAGTTATCATACATTTAAAGCTAATAAGATACAACCAAAATGATGACTACCTTCTTTTTTCCACCAAAAAATGATGATTCTAATCAAACAGCTTATGACTGGTAACGTATGTTGTAAATTATCTAACATTAGTGAACTGTCTCCGAAAATTTTTATTAGGGAATGTATAGAAGGAATAAGAATGCAGATCGTTAATCCCAGAAACACCACCAGCACTCGAAAATTGCATATTAATTTCTGCCAAGAATTTTGTGCAGTCCTAGGCCAAAGTCCAATTAAGTTTAAAGTGAAACGGTTTAATTTTACCGCCCACTCGAAATCTACCTGCAGAAATCTTAATAAGTACAGTGCTCATAATAATAGGATTTGTAATACACAATTTCAAATACACAAATGTATTAATAATTGTCAATGTACTGTGTGGAATTAGTTTAATATAAGATATTTTTGAACACTTTGTACTAATCATGTAAAGATTATTCAGGAAATAATAAATAATTAATAATAATAATAAATAATAGTAATAACAACAAATTCATTGATACAGACTTTTTGTTAATGATGAAAACATAAAAGATAGATTGTAAGAAAATGATACCACTGTTTGCACACATTCCTGTTAAAATATTTCCTGACGGCCCTTTTCATATATAATTAGAATAATTGAAACTTATATATAATAAGCACCTTGATATCCATTATATTTCGAATTTTCCATGTCTAGTGTTATCTAAAGACTAACGTCTGCTCCTTTTTTGTGAATCGACGTTACCTCCTGTGCAAGGAAAAAGCGCTTCTTGCGCATGCTTACAATACTGCTTCTCGAAAGTATCGAACGATCAACTTGCAACAAGGTATTTTAAATATTCTGCTTCTACTCTCATTTCAAATTTCCATCAAGTTATACATCTAGTAATTGCCGATTATTGTGGGAAACAATTGCAAATAAAAAATTGCGGAATATTAGATGGTGATATAACGATGGAAAAAAACATGCATGAGTATACCCCTATTGATTAATATTTCCATACTTCTATAATCCTCTGTTGTCTATGACTACAGCTTTTAGTAATATACTATAGCACAGAATTTATCGTGCATCGCTTTTATTGGTTTCTAATTTTTTAAATAAATTTGTTAAAATTTTATTGTTTGTTCTTAAATCGAATTTTTCAAAATAAATATAAAATATAAAAGTATATTGCATTGTTAAATCTACAGTGTTGAATTTAACCTAATGTGAGTCGCCATTGTTCCTACTGAATTATATTGTTATTTTATACTAAAACAATGATTATATTTGACACTATATAGTGCCATCTTTGATTGTTTGTAACAAATCATTACATTATGAACATTTATGTATAATGTATTGGGATTTTGTATTGAAAATGTGCTGTTAAAGAGTTACTAGATAATTTTTTAACATATATAATTTTATAAAAATAAAATGATTAATTATATATATATATAATGTAAAAAAATCACAAAATTTCGTTTAGTTGGAAGTGATCGCAATATATTTTGCGTAATAAAATATATAATATATTTTTTTAATTGAACAGAAATTCAATGTGTAAATCTTAATTAACATTTGTAATAAAATTTTGGGAAATCCATTTTAGAAAAATCGATGGAACAAGAAATTGAGTCGTTGCTGTTCAAATTTGTATCACATTGTTAATAAATTTATCTATAACTTGTGTCAGTTGGTGCTCGAATTTAAATTTTTTTGGGTGTGCACCCCCCTACAAGTAATTCTGTCGGGCGGCGTTCATGTTTAATGATATGTTATATAAAATAAATAGTTAAATTAAAAAGTAATTTTCACGAAAAAACATTCTTTTAAATTATGATTCTCTTAAAATTAAATTAAATTTTACATCGATCTGTATTATTACTTAAGAGAATACTGGGTGTAGTCTATTTAATTAATGCATTAAGATATATTTATTTGTAAATGATATGTCAATACTGATGTAGTTAAATTGGTTTTCTATAAAAAATTGCATGACGTTTGAAAAAAATTTTACATACTTTCATTTTTTTTATTACCTCCTTGTTGTATGCAAAACGGATATGTACCCAACAGATGTTTTTACTAACTAAAAAAATAATCTTTTAATGGTAATATGATTAACAATATAATTTAATAGTTAAATAATTATAAAGTTTAATTAAGATAAGATTGTACACGTACCTAAAATGAATAATTCAAATTTTATATAGATACTATAGATTTAATTCAATTTTCGTTACCTCGAATAATATTTTAATGTGATAATTATATTCAAACATTAAAATATCTTACACTGCAAAATGTGGCCATTGTAACAGGAGACACTTTTCCAACGGTGAGACAAATTTGTTTAGAACCTCTTGTCATTAAAAGCAACAAATCTTCTACAACCTTTGGATCCATAGCGTACCATTTATTACTATACGCCGCATAATATATTTTATTGCACTTAAAAATATTAAAAGTACTTTTAGATATCAATTATTATATATATTTTTTCATATATAAATAAAACTACTACATATTATATATACAGTAGTTTATAGTTAACATGCAAAATTATACAACATCAATTTACATAATTCTGAAATAAAATAAAATATTTATGTAATTACCTGAGCCATTAAAATTTCGCCAAGGACGCAATATAGGCACATGTGTGTAAATATATTGATAACAGTGGATATGAAATAGATTGAGTGAGTGATCGATATATTATTTCCTTCATCAAAAAGCTAATTAAGTTATGAAAAGCATAAACGAAAAAACATAATTATTCCTGTTACTATCAGTATTAATATTCTATTTTGTAATAATGTGTAAGGAAGAGGGTTAATAAGGCCATTTTTGTGTCTCTTACGGATTTCCATTAAATAATTTTTTTTGTATGATCACTTTAGGAATATCAAAAATAATCATTATATGAGAAAAACTCGATCCATTAAGCCTTAATTAATTATTAGTCTAGGTTTATCACTATGGGCTTAAGGTATAAGGTATAATGCTTAATGATTATACAATATAAAAAAATTGTCTAATTTAAATCCATAGGGGGCATAAAAACGGCCTTATTATAAATAATCCTTCTCCTTATCTCATACATAAATAATAACTTATTAATCATAATCATTAAAGTATACACCATTATTCAGCAATTAGACATAAACGTCTTTTTATTCAACTTTTAGATACAATACTTACGCTAATTACCCTAAATCCGTAGAAGGCGAAGAGTATCGCGAAATATATAAATAAAGAGAGAAGTATTCCATTATAAGTATCTTCAATAACATCAATAGCTCTATAAAAGATATTTTATGTACCAAATATATTTAATCACATGTTTTGTATAGATTATCTTATTTATGTATACGTTTTCTTACAAATAACAAACCTAAGCAAACGGATATGTTTTGTTAAGCAGCATTTTAGTATTTTATGATAATTTATGTATTTATCCAAATATTGCATACGATTCTCAAGAATGTCTAATTGACCACATATATGAAAAACCACGAGACTGAGAAAATTGTCTACTGCACTATAGATCATCATAGCGATAGCTACATAGATGACTTGACCAATAAATGTTAATTCATATTGAGGCCTTTTTGTTATATCGTAAATGTAATGGGTTTGTAAAGGCATTGGCATTCTTCCTGGATCAGTAATATTAGGTGTCAGTCTTACTGACAATCCAAAAATAGGCAATACTGCGACGAAAAAGCACGCTAATGTCATTATACAATAGGAACAAATAATAATTATACGTGCATTCTGCGCTCTTCGGATCATCATGTTCCTCTCTTGATTAGTTTTTAACATTATCCAGTCCTTCGCGATCATATTCATAATTGGTACAATAGCTTAAAAGTAAATAATTTTATACACGTTAATTTTACTGTGTTGCTGAATTAAAATTTTAAGCTTAATTTTAACATGTAAAGACAAAAAAGAATACATCGAAATACTAACACTATTTTTGTATTCTCTAAAGAAAAGTATTATTACAATTTTAAATCAGTAAAAATGTTAATTTCATAACATACCAATCTTGTTAATATAGATATCATATAAATTATCATATAATATATCATATAATATATATAAATATAAATTCTATAATATATATAAGTATATAAATTCTATATAAAGTAAGTATTTTATGTTTAAATGAATATATGTGAGTATTTATATGCATACACATAGGTTTAACATGATGTAATTTTTTATAATTTTCTGTAATATTTTTCTGTACAAAGTAATTAGCAAAATGAGTTCTGTCATAAAAAGATTTTATTTAAAAAAAAAAGATATTTATTTAAATCTAATAAATCATATGTACAATATAATTTTCAAAATGTACAAAATTTAAAATATAGGGATTTCAGGAATTTTATTATTTAACGACTCTATTGAGAAATAGTCTATATATATATATATATAAAAATATATGTTAATATATGAATTGATTTTATCGTAATGTAAGTGAATTGTGTAATTTATATGTATTTGAAACCATCAATTTTAATTTGAATATTTAATTTATATGTAAGAGTTACATACTTTTAAAATTTGTAAGAGTTATAGATATGAACAAAATGTTGTGTACCTTCTTTTTTCCACCAAAAAATCATGATTCTAATCAAGCAGCTTATGACTGGTAGAGTAAATTGTAAATTATCTAACATTAGCAAAACGTCTCCGAAAATTTTTATTAGGGAATGTATACAGGGAATAACAAGGCCGACTAATCCCAAAAAAGTTATCAGCACTCGAAAATTGCATATTAATTTCTGCCGAGAATTTTGTGCAGTCTTCGGCCAAAGTCCAATCAAATTTAAAGTGAAACGGTTTAGTTTCACCGCCCACTCGAAATCTACCCGCAGAAATCTAAGTGAGTACAGTGTTTATAATTATAGGATTTGTAATATACAATTCCAACCGTCACAAATGTATCCATGATTGAATCAAGCGCACCGCGTGAAAGTTTAAAATAAGATATTTTTTGAACATTTCGTATTAATCATGCAAGAGTCTAAAGATTATTTACGAAGTAATAAATAATTAATAACATAAATAAATGATTTTGTTAGTTGCAGTTAGATATAAGTAACTAAAGACGTAATAAATATACATTGCGCATTCCGATAAGTCGTCACTATTAATTTAGAAAGAGGGAGATAGCTTAGTGCGTACTGCTTTCTCTCTCTTTCTCTTTCTCTCTAAAATATTAGTGTAATATCAGTGTTAGTGCACAATTAAATCGCCCTCTCTTTCCTATATATCACTTTCTCTATTCTCAGAAAAATATATTATGTGCTCCAAATCTTCATTACGCTTCCCACACAAAGCAAATGACAAAGAGATACGGTTATTCAATATTGCGTTCTCTTTTTACGTAGCACAGATGCTGTAGAATCAATTAGGATAGGGAACTGCAGTTTATATCTATTACGTCTATTCCTACAAGACATACAAATCTTAAAACATATGTTATATGAATATTAAAAAGAGTAAATAGTCATATAACATTTTAAGAATGTTGTGTACTTATAGAATGTAATTAACGCTGTTGCAATACAAAATTTGATGTTCAATACGTTCATAAAAAAACACCAATTCACTGAGATAATCCGGACTTTTTCGTTAACAATGAAAACGTAGATTATAAATGATATCTATTACTATTTGCACACATTTCTAATAACGTATTTCCTTAAGGATCTTTTCGCATACAATTAGAATAATTCGAAACTATAAGCACCTTGGTATCCATTATATTTCAAACTTTCCATGTCCAGTGTTATCTAAAGACTAATGTCTATTCCTTTTTCGTGAATCGACATTACCTTCTGTACAAGAAAAAAGCGTTTCCTGCGCATGCTTAAAATATTACTTCTTGAAAGTATCGAACGATCAACTTGCAACGAAGTACTTTAAATATTCTGCTTCTTCTCTCATTTCAAATTTCTATCAGGTTTCCATTAGTACCTATTATTGCGGGAAACAATTGCAAATAAAAAACTTCACAATGTCAGATGGTGGTATAGTAATGGAAAAAAAAACAAGTATACGTATCTATCATATAGTATTTCCATACTTCTATAATCCTCTGTTATCTATAACTGTTGCTTATAGTAATGTACTATAGTTTAGAACTTATCGTGTATTGCTTTTATGTGTGTGGTTTCCAATTTTTTAAATAAATTGGCTAAAATTTTATTGTTCTTATATCAAGTTCTTCAAGATAAATGCAAAATATAAAAGTGTATTGCTAGATCAGATTATTCATCTTTAATTCTATTCATTATATTTATGATTCTGATCATAACATAAATTCTCATCATAATATTTATGATTATTATTATTATCGATCAAAAAAATGTTAAATATAACAATTGCTTCTCTTGAAAATTTGAGATCGTTTTTGAATCATAAGCCGATAATAAAATTTACCAGTAACTTAATTCATACGTATTTATCTGTTATTTTTGTAACTTTAATATTATAATTCTTATTAAATATTTACTTTTACAATCTAGTTTTATGTACGTAACAAATCAATTGAAATATAATATTTAAATGTAAGAAGCAAAGAAATAAAACTAATTTTACAAATTAATACTAACATTAGCTGAAATACAAAAATTAATTACAAGTAATAGATAATTTTATAAATTTGCAAGATTAGTTATGAGCCTGCATGCGACAAAATATATATCTTTGTCTATCTTTGATTGTAATAAATCATTACATTATAAACATTTATATATTTTGTAATTCAATTGGCGTTAAAAATATGCTATTGAAATTGTATAAGATTGTTGCGTAACATTTTATAGACTTTTATACAAATAAAAAGATTAATTATATATAATGTCATTATTTAAAACTGCTTATCTATATTTAATGGTATATTTTATAAAATAAATTATTTAGTTTAAAAAGCAAATTTGGTTTATACAAAATTCACGAAAAACCATTCTCATACAACAGAAACCAAAATACATTATAGGAATGTCCTAAAAGTATCACATTTCCTAAATATATTTTTAAGATATCCATATAATGTATTTTAGACACATCTGCTGTGTAGATTCCTTTAATTAATTTATGATTTTCTTAAATTTAATTTTACATCTGTGTCATTATTTAAGAGAAACATATTTCTTAGCTTATTCTTTTTGATTAATGTATTAAGATATATTTATTTGTAAATGATATAGTTAAACTGGTGTTTTATCAAAAATTGCATGCTTGAAAAAATTTCTCATGTTTGTCATTTTTTCTATTACCTTTTTGTTGTATGCAAAACGGATATATACCCGATAGATGTTTTTACTAACTAAAAAACAAATTTTTGGTGATAATATATTTAATAATATCAATATAAGTATGTAAATAAGTAAGTAAGAAAAATAATAAATACATTAAATGTAAAATTCAAGTCTGTATATTCAAAAATTTTTATGAATGTTTAGTAGTACCAAATAAATTTTAATATAATATTTCTAATTAAACATTAAAATATCTTACACTGCAAAATGTGGTCATCGTAACAGGAAATATTTTTCCAACGGTGAGATAGATTGGTTTAGAGCCTCTTGTCATTAAGATTAACAAATTGTTTGTGGTTTTTGGATCCATAGTATACCATTTATTATTATATGCCGCGTAATATATATTATTGCACTTGAAAATATCAAAAACACTTTTAAACAAATTATTGTTTAAATATTTCAACTAAATAGAAAGTAAACAATGTATAATAGTTTGCAAATTTAATTGTGCAATATTCAATTTATATGATTTCTATAATGAAAAAAAATATATATATATGTTACTAACCTGAGCCATCAGAATCTCCCCGAGAATGCAATATAGACACATATGTCCAAATAAATTTAAAATGGTTAATGTAAAAAATACGAAACGAATAACTGGTAAATGATTTCCTTCGTTGAATACCTATTTAATTTATAAGTTTTACATAAGGATATTGTATCTCATAATTAAAATTATTTTAGTTGTCCATGATAAAATATAGTATGTTGTAAGTATAGTAAAAATTTAGATTATAATATACACTTTAGTAATTTTGTAATATTAAAAATTAATTAATATATGAATTCTAATTTTTAAGCGTTTTAACACTTACGCTAATTACCCTAAATGCGTAGAAAGCGAATAGTATCGCAAAATATATAAATAAGGAAAGGAGTATTATATTATACATATCTTCAATAACATCAATAGCTCTGCAAAGCGTATCATATATTCGATTATATAGGATGATTCAGAACAACCAGTAGGGTGATTTAAAGTTTGAGTTTGAAACACCGTATTCCTTATTTAATTCTAAGACGATTTTTCCTTTACTATAAAAGCTTTATCTGAAGCTTACTTTTTAAATTATAAGAAAAAATAGTTAACGAATTACGGGAATTATAATTTAAAAACTAAGCTTTAGATAAAATTTTGGTAAAAGAAAAATCGTCTTAGAATTAAGTCAAGGAACACGATGTTTCAAGAATAAATGGTTGTTCTAAATCACTCTGTATATTTCGGACAGATTATATGTGCGTATATTTTCTTAACAAATCTAATAACAAACCTAAGTAAACGAAGATGTTTATCTATACAGCACTTTAGCACTTCTTGATAATTTGTGTATTTATCCAAATGTGTCAAACGACTCTTGATAATGTCTAACTGACCAGATATATGAAATATTAGAAGACTGAGAAAATTATCAATTCCAGTATAGATCATCAAGGCAATAACTACGTAGATGACTTGACTAAGAAATGTCAGTTCATATTGCGGTCGTTTTGTTATATCGTAAACATAGTAGCTTTGTAAAAGCATTGGTTTTCCTGGATCAGTAATGTTGGGAGTCAATCTCATTGACATTCCGAAAGTAGGTGGTATAACGATAAAGAAGCACTGTATTCCCATTAGACAATAGGCACAAATAATAATTATGCGTGCACTTTGCGCTCTTTGGATCATGAAACATTTCTCTTGATCACTTATTGACTTTATCCAATCTTTCGCGACCATATTTATAATCGGTACAATACCTTAAAATGGTTTGAAAGGTGAAGAATTTTATTTATAATTTTCAGCTTTGTTAAGTTAAAGTATATTGATTTTAATTCTAAGCAGTAAAAAGTACAGAAAAAAGAAATTTATACAATGTTAATATTTTCTATGTAAAAAAACGATGTTATAATTCAATATCATAAGTAAAACGATCAGTAGAATGATCAGTTCTACTGAATCAGTAGAAAGATTCCTTAAGGAGATTGAGAGTCACATTGTTGAAATCCTTGACAATTTTTTTATGACAAATTCATTAAATATATGAAAGTGAATTTCGCACGGCATATACGAATATTTATATGGCATGTAAAAAATTAACAAAAAAAAATGTTTTTTATTATCTCACAAATACTTTATATAAATATACGATGCGTACATGGTCTATTTTTTTTCATGGTCGTTTTGCAGTGACATCTCAACTCTCGGTGATTCGAATAGCGAATTTTAATTAGAAATTTTCAGGCCTGCCGATATAGAGTGAACCATACACAACCCAGTTAAAACATTTTATCGAGATATTCATTTCTTAGTACAAAGAAACTTAAAAATATTGAGTTTATATTTATATAATTGCATATTTATATAAGTATTTGTCAATAAAGAATGTATTTTTTTACTCTTTATATGTTGTATAAACGTTGCTTAAATTGTATATATGTAGTAAAACTAAAATGATGCTTACCTTCTTTTTTCCACCAAAAAATCATGATTCTAATTACGCAGCTTATAATTGGTAAGGTAAATTGTAAATTATCTAACATCAGCAAAACGTCTCCAAAAATTCTTGTCAGGGAATGTATAGAAGGAATAACAAGGCAGACCGTTAGTCCCAGAAAAACTATCAGCACTCGAAAATTGCACATTAATTTCTGCCAAGGATTTTGTATGTTTTTAGGCCAAAGTCCAAGCAAATCTAAAGTGAAACGGTTTAGTTTCACCGCCCACTCGAAATCTGCCTGCAGAAAATTTGTGTGATATGTCTGAAGTTCTTTTTAAAACAGTTTACATAATTTAGAACACATACAAATATAGCCACATAAAATCAAATATACAATAAATTATTTGACAGAATACGTGAAGTAGTTTAAAGTAAAATATTTTGAACACTTTACTTTTGATTACATAATGGTATAAGTTTAAAGATTATTTACAGGTAATAATAAATAACTTATGATAAAAGTTGTAGTTAGATACAGTTAACATTAATATATGAATACAAAAACACAAGTAAAATGATAATCTAGAATTTTTATTCATGATGTGAGAATAAGATATGGAATATTATTATTACAAATAATACCATTGTTTGCACACATTGTTATTAAAATATTTCTTTAAAGTTCGTTTCACATATAATCACAATAATAGAAACCATAAGCACCTTGGTATCCGTCATGTTTCGAACTTTCCATATTGAATGTTGTCTGATGACTGACGTCTGTTCCTTTTCCATGAATTGACGTTACCTCTTGTACAGTAAAAAACGCGTTTTGTACATGCTTATAATACTTCTTGGAAGCGTCGAACCATCAATTTACAGTAAGATAAATTTTAAATATTCTACTTTTGTTTCCAACTTTCATTTAATTTCCCACATCGATCATAGCGTGAAACATGTGCGAATAAAAAATTGCATAATATAGATACGTTTGACGAAAAAACATGCGTACACCAGTTATATTCTCATGATTCTACAGTTCTCTTATAACTGTAGTTAGTAATAAACTGCACAGAACTTATATTATGTATATTACTCTTAATTTTTTTAAATATAAATTTTCAAAAATTTATATTGTTCTCTTTCACATATTAGAATTTTCAAAATAAATGCGAAATGTAAGATTTAGTAGATTAAGTTATTAAAATAATTGCAAATAAAAATAAATTAATTATTTTTATAGAAATTTTATTGGACTTGGAAATTTTATTTCTCATAGCAATGTGATAAAATTAAAAGAAATTTTTCAAAAATATCGTTCCTGAATGCAGAAGAAATTTCGACATGGAGTCAATAATGATTATATGGACTTCACAGTTCTACTTTAATCGTTAAAGTAAATGATTGAAAATCCAAGAAAAACTTATACATAAAGTGTGAAATAAAGCAATAAAAATGATTTACTAGAATGAAGTGCATCCATGTCGGCTACAAATCTGCAAAATCTGATTTGAAAACTATCATTATCTTAATGGTAAGTAAGAAATTCCAAGAATGTGACGGCTATCGTGATAACCGTTTTTTGTCTTTAATATTATATCTTCTTGATATTTGTTATCTTTAATTTTACATAATTTTATATAATTATTATCATTATGAATATAAAAAAGTTTAATCAAGAAATGCAATTGCATGTCACATTAATTAATTAGTATTTGCAGTCAAATAATAGATTCAAATATCTTCCTATAGTTCTCAATATATGAAATAGTTATCTAAAAGTGAATTCTTCAAGAGATACTTTACGTTTTATGTATTAATATAAAATATATTAAATATTTCTCTCATAAACTAGTTATTTTGTGATAACTACACCTTGTATTTTTTATATAAAATGATGCATAAAATTGATTTATTTGAACAAATATATTTTGTTAAATAAAAGTGAAAGTAATTTCAAAATTCAAATTACAGAATATTTCCATCTAGAACAAAATAACTATAATGTTAATTATAAAATATTATTTCAAAATGAAAAAATCTTATTTAAAACTTTGTTTTCATTAAATATAAAGTCTTTAAATAAAAATATAAGGTCTTTAAATAAAAATTTAAGGTAATTATTGAATTAATCATAATATAAATTCATTATTTAAAATTAAATTGTTAACACAATTAACTTTACGTTTTAGGAGAAAGATGGATATTTATGGACTACGATTCAGATTACAGAATTCAATTTCAGATTTCATCTTGCATCATTTAATAAAATTCAGTTATTTTCTATCGAATTCTGCACTAAAATCTATAATTTATTTTATATTCGGTATTAATGCTCGCATAGTTCTTATATTATCGTTTCTATAAACAATTATAAGGTCAAAGAATAATATAAAAGAAAATCCAAATATATCTCGCTTTGTTTTTAATTTCTCGTTGTATGTAAAACGGATATATAGCCAACTGACGTTTTTATTAACTGTAAAACATGTTTTAAAAATATAAATAATACAATAATTACTGACAAACATTGGTATCTTACACTGCAAAACGTTGCCATTGTTATAGGGAATATCTTTCCAGCAGTAAGATAGACCGGTTTAGAACCTCTGATCATTAAAATCAACAAGTTTTGTGTTACTTTAGAATTCATGGTGTACCATTTATTACTGTACGCTGCATAATATATTTTATTGCACTTGAAAGTATTAAAAGTATTTTTAGATGAAAATTATTACACTTTATCTAGTAATTGAATATAAGTTAGTTGTTAATTATATTATAGATCAATGAATATATTTTAACACTTTTATATTATAACTTTTTTACTTCCTATATTCTATAGGAATCAATCTGGATTGTCAGTTCTAAACACTTTCATGAAACCTTTGTTTAAACTAACCCAAAAGTTAAATAAAATTATTAATAATTTAGTTAGTTGTATTCACAAATATAGAAATTAATATTAATTTTCTAGTACACGTGACAAATACTAGATTTAATGCATAATATACTTATAAATTAAATACTTCTTTCATAAATTATAGTAATTTATAGAGATAATTATGCGACATAAAATTAACATGACTTTTATAGGAAATAAGAGAAATGATCAACTAACCTGGACAACCAAAATCTCACCAAGAGCACAATATAGACACATATGTGCAAATATATTGATTACAGTGGATGCAAAATATGCCAAATGAGGGAATGATATATCATTTCCTTCGTCAAATAACTAATTAATTTATAGGATAAGATAAAAGACATGATTTTTTTATATTGATATTAATTCAAAAATTTAAGATAAAATATCATGTAACTGTATACGTTTTTAGTATACTTCTCAATTGTTTTCTTAAAGTCAACATCACATTTTATTTAAATAAATTACTAAAAAATACTTACAGTAATTATCCGAAAACCATAAAAAGCGAAAAGAATCGCAAAATATACGAATAAAAAAAGAAGGATTACATTATACGTATCTTCAATAATGTCAATGACTCTATAAAAGATGATTCGTGTATTAGATATATGTATATAGGTGAAGTACTGATTATGTATTTCATATGTATCAAACCTAAGCAAGCGCATGTGTCTGGTTATACAATTGCTTAATATCTCGTGAGAATTTTTACATTTATCCAAACTTGTTAAACGGTTCTTCAGAATATCTAATTGACCACATATATGGAAAACCAAGAGTCCAAGAAAATTATCGATTCCACTATAAGACATCATGGCAATAATAATATAAATGGATTGACTAATAAATGTCAGTTCGTACTGTGGACTTTTTGTTACATCGTAAATGTAATGAGTTTGTAGGGGCATTGGTCTGCCTGGGTCAGTAATGTTGGTGGTGTCTCTCATTGATATTCCAAAGCTAGGTAGAACAATAAGAAAAAAGCATCCTATTCCCATTATACAATATGCGAATGTAATAATTATACGTGCATTCTGTGCCCTTCGGATCATTATACTTCTCTCTTCTGCATTTTTCAATTTTACCCAATCCTCCACGATCATATTCATGACCGGTTCGATAGCTTGAAAAAATGTTAATATTAAAAATTTTAATCATTTAATAAATAATTGTCATCATTTAATAAATAAATAATTGAAATAGAGATTATTACAAAAATTTAATTATAAGCGATAAAAAATTTAAAAAAAAAATAGAAAGGAATATTTTTTTCGTACTTTCAACAAAAAACAAATAATTTTATGGAATATGTAAGAAATAAAAATATGAAGACTAATGCACAATTGAAAAGCACAGACAATAGGAATAGGGAATAACAGACTTCAACTATTCGGAAACTGTATAATCAAAATATACGGTATGTGACAGGTTGTAATCTGTTTTTTGTTCCTTGTTCCTATTGTCTGTGTTTCTCAATTGTGCATAAGGCTGCATTATAAGCTTTAGATTTGGAATATGCATCAATATAGTTCATTCTTCATATAAAAATAAATATACATGTATATATGTATAAATGTATATACAATACATAACTATAGTCTTATTTGTTAAAAAAATTTTCAGCTATTTAGTGATTTATAAATATTAAATATTAATTATAATATAATATTTAAATTATACATTATTTACTGAATTTAATAAGTTTAGAAAAAGAATAAAATTAATCTATACCTTCTTTTTTCCACCAAAAAATTACAATTCTTATCAAGCAACTTATGGTTGGTAGAGTAAATTGTAGATTATCTAGTATTAATATAATGTCCCCAAAAATTCTTGTTAAAGAATGTATTGAAGGAATAAGGAGGCTCAGTGTTATACCCAAAAACACGACAAGCACTTGAAAATTGCACATTAATTTCTGATGAAAATTTTGTGCGGTTTTAGGCCAAAGTCCAATCAAATTTAAAGCGAAACGATTTAGTTTTACCGCCCATTCAAAATCTACCTGCAGAAACCTTAGTAAGTTCGAAATTTATTAAAAAGGTCACTGTATTTTTTTAAATATACTTAAGTAAAGCTATAGTTAAATAACATCACTTTTCAATAACCACATCTAGTAGTCTTCAATAACCAGATCTAATTATAATAATCACTTTTTAATAATCACGCAAGTTGAGAAAATAGTAGATACCGACAATAAGAATCACTCAAAATTTCAAGTTAGATGCGTATCTAATTTCAATAAATTAACACAAACACTATTATAAAATGGAATAACTACAAATTTTTTAAGGTTATCGTTAGTCGGATAAATTGTAATGAAAATATTTCTATTGACACTTTCTCAATTACAGTCATTTACAATAATCAAGAAAATATAAACACCTTGGTATCCATTATATTTAGAAGTTTCCATGTCGAATGTTGTCTAGTGTCTGACGTCTGCTTCTCTTTCATGAATCGACGTTACCTCGTATTCAGAGGAAAACGTTTCTCGCGCATGCCCTCAATAATTTTTGTGAGAGACGAACAAAGTATTAAGTATTAAATATTCTGTACTTTCGTCTGAAGTTTCCATGACTTGAATATCGAACATCGCACAAAACATTTGCGAATAAAAAAATTAATAACAGACGGATACCATGTCAGCAAAAAAGGATGTATGTATATATATCCATTGTCCTCTTACACTTCTATAATTGACTATAGCTTTTAACTATAGTTAGTAATAGACTATATATAATACATTAAAATGTGTTCGTTGGTAACAATTGCTGTAGCAATCTATGCTCACCACATCTTCCTCTTTTGTTGTTATTAATTCTATGTATATAATCTTCTGTCATTAGATAATAAATTGATTGGTAAAATTAGTTTTAAAATATAAGATAATACATTAATTTAAAACATAAATTATCTGACGAATTATTTATTTTGAGGTAAATGTGTGTGTGTGTGTGTGTGTGTGTGTGTGTGGATGCGCGTGTATTGAAATATATTTGAACATGTATATTGAAAACTTATATCTTAACTAATTTTCAAAATATTAAAATATAAGATATGTTTGTGTGTTATTATATGTATATATTTTTATGCAAAATGAATAGAAAAGTTAATTAATAAGAAAACATAAATAATTACATTTTAAATGGAGATAATTTTATATCTCAGAAGTACAACAAAAATAAGTGAAAGACTGTCATAGAAACTAAGCATATTTTGTTCAACACAACTTTTATAAAATAAATAACTTTTAAAACATAATATTGTAATATAAAATTAGTTAACTTACATTTAATGATATATTTAATTAATAACGTGATATATAAAATAAATAATTAATTGTAAAACAAAGACTGGCTTACAATTTAATTAGTATCTGCAGGTTACAATTCTCTCAAACTAATTAGATTTACCGACATTTTTTATACCATTTAACACATTTTTACCATTACTTAATAGAATTCTAGATATATTCTATTTGAATAATGCATTAAGATATATTTCTTTGCAAATGATATGTTAATATCGGCACATTTCTATCATATTCTATAAAAAATTGCATAATATTGGCAAAAAGCATTTTTCACATTTTCTATCACCTTCTTGTTGTATGCAAAACGGATATATAACCAACAGATGTTTTTACTAACTAAAAAATATATTTTTTAAATAGTAATACGATTATCAATATAAATTTAATAATTAAATATTCATAAAGTTTGATAAGATTGCACATAAAATGAATAATTCAAATTTTATATAAGTACAATAAATTTCAACTAAATTTTCATGACATTGAATAATATTTTAATATATATAGTTAAATATTATAGTTAAATATTAAAATATCTTACACTGCAAAATGTGGCCATTGTAACGGGAGACATTTTTCCAACGGTGAGACAAATCTGTTTAGAACCTCTTGTCATTAAGAGCAACAAATCTCCTGCAACTTTTGGATTCATGGTGTACCATTTATTACTATACGCCGCATAGTATACCTTATTGCACTTAAAAGTATTAAAAGTACGTTTAGATATCAATTATTATATATATTGCTTCATATATAAAGAAAAATTGGACACTACATATTATATATACAATAGTTTATAGTTAACACGCTAAATTATACAACATCAATTTACATAATTTTGAAATAAAATAAAATATTTATGTAACTCACTACCTGAGCCACTAAAATTTCTCCAAGGACGCAATATAGGCACATGTGTGTAAATATATTGATAATACTGGATATGAAATAGATTAAATGAGTGATCGACATATCATTTCCCTTATCGAATAGCTAATTAAGTTATGAAAAACCATAAAACATAATTATTTCTATCAGTATTAATATTTAATTTTGTAATAACATGTAAATTTAAATGTAATAACTTATTGATCATAATCATTAAAATTATTCAGCAGTATAATTTAGACATAAACATTTTTATGAAGTTTTCAATTTCATTAATACTTACGGTCATTATTAAGAAAGCAAAGAGTATCGCAAAATATATAAATAAAGAGAGAAGTATTCCATTATACGTATCTTCAATGATATCAATAGCTCTATGAAAGACATTTTATGTACCAAATATATTCAATCACATTTTGTATAGATTATCATATACATATAGGTTTTCTTATAAGTAACAAACCTAAGCAAACGGATATGTTTTTCTATGCAGTGTTTTAGTATTTTGTGGTAATTTTTGTATTTATCCAAATGTTGCATACGATTTTCAAGAATGTCTAATTGTCCGCATATATGAAAAACCATGAGACTGAGAAAATTGTCTATTCCAGTATAAGCCATCATGCCGATAGCCACATAGACTGCTTGACTAATAAATGTTAATTCATATTGCGGCCTTTTTGTTATATCGTAAATGTAATGAGATTGTAAAGGCATTGGTATTCTTCCAAGATCAGTAATATTAGGAGTCAGTCTCATTGTCACTCCAAAAATAGGCAGCACCGAAATAAAAAACCATTGTAATCCCATTATGCAGTAGGAACAAATAATAATTATTCGTGCAGTTCGCGCTCTTCGTATCATTAAATTTCTCTCTTGATCATTTTTTATACTTATCCAATCCTTCGTGATCATGGTTATAATTGGTATAACAGCTTGAAAAGTAATAATTTTATGCACATTTTACAACGTTATGAAGATATTTTAAAATCAATCCTAAATCATAAAAAACATGAAATGCTATTATTTTTTTTAATTCTTTAAAGTTTAAAGCATAATAATACCTATTATAATTTAAAATTGGAAATATTAATTAATCTAATGTAAAAGTATCATGTAAATTCAATGATATTATATACGTAACGAGTATGTATACAAGCTGTTAGTTAAGTATGTTGTCGTACTCAACAGAGCGATTCTTTGGTTTATTTCAAGTAAAAAAGTCCATATAAACATGAGTCCTATACGGTTTAGTTTCCGAAATACAGGTGAATGTTCGCAAATGTTTGACGAAATGGTAAATTGCGTTGGAGATATCTTCTTGCATAAATATGCCTTGCTTCACGTGAGTTACCATTCGCACAACCGTAAACAAAGTGACAAAGTCAAAGTCAAAGTCACAAAATCAAAAATTGACTTCAGTTCTGATGTTGCTGCGGGTCAGTTAGCTTGTACATACGTTTTCGCCAAATTGTTCTATCAAAATCGCAAGGTGGACATTTTCAACATTTTGTTTAATTGTTTTACTTCAGCAGAAGAACTGAAACCTGTTTTTTTTTTCCTGTTTTTGACTAGTTTTTGACTAGTTCAAGCTGTATTTCTTTCAAATAAACAGATTAGTACTACACGTTTAAATTTTTTTATTTCGGAAACTAAGCCGTTTAGGACATAAGTTTATATGGACTTTTTTTACTTGAAATAAACCAAAGAATCGCTCTGTTGAGTATGGCAACATACTTAACTAACACCCTGTATATGTAAATCTTTTTTATTCACAATAAATGTATCTATACGTGTTTATGTGCATATACTGAAAAGGTTAATATAAAATATTCCTTTTTATAACTTATATAATATGTATTTCTATTTACAAAAAATTAGCGATAAGAATTTTATTTAAAAGATTTTATTTTCTATTATTTAAAAGATTTAACTTCCACTTATAATTGTATAAGTTTATAAATTTGAGGAAATACTTAATATACTCATAAATTTTTTAAAAAGTATACAAACATGATGAACTATATGGTGTATAACTAAGTTCCCACCGTTAAGTATACAAATTTTTTTATAAACGCAAAAGGATCGAATAATATAATTGTTTTAATCAAAATACTTTCTGTATGCATCTTCCACCTTTGGTCATCCTTATGGCAGCATACGAATGTGGCGAAAGAATGTCTCATCTCTTGACGCAATGAAGTCATCGACCCACTTTTTAACATTTGCTTCATTTTGAAAATACGTTTTGGAGACGCTGTGCTGCATCAACCGGAATAAGTGATAATCAGGCAGTGCAATGTTTGGAGAGTATGCTGAGTGGGAAAGGATTTCCTATTTAAGATGTGTTTGTTTAATTTCATGAGCAGCATGAGGCCTCGCATTGTTGTGGAGAAAATGATCTTGTTGTTTTAAGGCAACTGTTATTCGCTTCTCTTCAATTGCTTGACTCGAACGTTAAAAAAATTAATTCAAATTTGATTGAAATTTAAAAGCAATTCAAAAGAAACGACCGGCAGTTGCTTCAAAATGACGCAAAGTTAATTTGTTCCACAATGTTGCTAGGCCTCATGTTGCTCAAAAGTCTAACAAGCGCTGTATGATCTTGAATGGGAAATCTTTTCTTACTCACACAGCGTACTCTCCGGACATCCCGCCGTCTCCAAAACACACTTACAAAATAAAGCAGAAACCAAGAAATGGGTCGACGACTTCATCGCATCAAAAGATGAGACATTCTTTCGCCGCAGTATTCGTATGCTTCTTGAAAGATGGTAAAAGATTATAAATGCAAACGGCAAATGTTTTTATTAAAACCATTGTATTTTTTCTTTTGTTAATAAAAGAGTTTTTATAATTATCGGCGGGAATTTAGTTATACACCTAATATATGAACATATATACAGGGTG